AGTACGTTATATTTACCTTTTTTAAATGCCCTCCTCCTATTCCCTTGAATGGAGGGTGGTTGACTCTGCTGTCCCAGTCCACTGGCACCTTGATCCTTTCATAGAGCTGGAGAATCACCATGGCGTCCTGCAGATCGCTGCATCAACACAAGTACACAGCACACAGACTTATTTAGTCAGTGTGGAAATACACAGTCGGCATAGCAAGTTGTTTCAGACGGAGGGATGCTGACCCGTAGATATGGTGAACATGCGGACTGACTCCCAGAGAGTTCATCCAGTTCCTGAACGTCCTCTCCTCTCTGGTCTCGCCTTGAGAGAGGGAGAGTGAGAGTGAGAGAGAGAGAGAGAGAGAGAGAGAGAGAGAGAGAGAGTGTTACCTTACAAGGTGACAGTATATGTGAGAGAGGGATTATTCATCCACACTTACTCTCCAGAAACCAGTCTTGGTCCTCCGGTTTGGTGAGCGCCGGGTGTTTGTTGAAGAGTGTGGCCACGAAGGCCATGTTGAGCTTCGCGTTCCCAGACACGACATCGGTGGCGGTCACAAACTGCCGGCAGCCGAGGCGGTCAGCCTGTTTGAGCATACACTCCGCCCTCTTCATCAGATCCTTCTCCTGGGTGACACACACGCAAACACACATTTACATCTTACCATCATGGGGGTTACAGAACATCCTTTACATGCACTAAATCATGTTAGTTTATTTTCATATGCACAACAATTGCCGTGCAGGACTCGGCAGCAATGGAATTCAAATACAAACCAAATATGTGTAGCATTAGAAAACACTATATTTGGCATGTGAGTTTCACAAGGATGGTACTGTAATGAACAGGCTTAATGTCCTCATAGACAACGCTGACATTTGGCAGGGATTGAGATGATGGTTCCGACATGTAACATAAAGACGTTTCATGAAACGGACACTTGATAACCAGAGAGATTATTCTGTAGTATTGTAAAGACAAAGCCATGTCACTTTTGTCCATTATGTGAAACATATCAGAGGGGAAAAAGAGATTTAAACCCTGCTTACAATAAAAAGTGAAGAATGATAGATGTTAAAATAGTCCTACAGGAAGCAGAAGGAAGGTCAACAGGAAGTCAGATTTCATTTAGCCCCTTATAGCCAAATGAAAAGCAGTTTTAACTGAACGGTGCTTAGTTTCAATAACACAGCACAACGTGTGTGTGTGTGTGTGTGTGTGTGTGTGTGTGTATTCTCAGTGGGGATTCTGTCGAATCCTTGAGACCCAAACGCATTACTGATTCCAGCCGTAATGACTCAAATAACACCAACATGAATAGAATATAAAAGGTGAAGAACATACATACAGCATTACACTCTACTGTCTTAAGACAAAAAAGGTTGCATGACATGCTTAACTCTTAACTCACATAAAGACCAGTCATGTCCACCTCAATCCGTGGGACGTCCTCTTTGCTGCCGTCAGGAGCGATCTGCTCGAGCAGGTGGAAGTACGCCTTTGCGTCCTGCACAGACACAGAAACAGAAAGTTACTCCGGACCACAAAAGATTTATGCTTGGTGTGGATCGACTTCACTAGCATTGTGATGGGTTTTTAGTCGGAGTCAAACGGTGCTGGGCAATGTATCGGTATTGTATCGATATCCTGATATGAGACAAGATATCCTCTTCTTGGATATCGTAATATGGCCTGGGTTTAAAGACTGCATCCCAGCTGTGCTATTATTTGTCTCATGGTGTAAACACTTTGTGAAAGCGCCACTGGTCAACCCTACAATATCGTGTTATCGATATGTAGGTATTTGGTCAAGAATATTGTGATACTTGATTTTCTCCACATCGCCCAGCCCCACTGTACAATTTGTCACCTTTCTGCAAAATAACTGTCTGAGACACATATTGAATATAAGCAGGTGGCAGCTCACTACTGTGGAATAAACAATTACAGATCTAAGATGTCTGGCACAGGTAAAAACCCTGAAACTGAGGTTTTCAGTGAGAAGTTTGGCTATCACACTGACATTTCCTCACCTTAATGTCTCCAGAAAAGTTCGATATGGACATGCCGACTTTCTTCAAATGGAAATTGGCCCAGCGCAGCAGCAGCTCCTCGGGACTGAGCTTCATCAGATCCTCCAGACTCTCCCCTTCCTCCAGCAGCGCTGCTATAGCTGTAAACAAGAAGACACAAGCTGATACTTCTTTCCTTTTCACGTTTTTAACCACGATTACAATCTGTGTTTCAAAGTTTGTCCGTGCTGGGCAGACAAGCGTGTGCGCGTTCGTTCGCACCTTCATTGCGGCTCAGCTCTATGTCGGCGAACAGTCCAATCTTGATAATCTGCCAGAGGAGCCCGAGCACCAGGTGAGGTTTGCCCTCCTTCAGATCTTGGGCGCCGATGTTGACGACTTGGCAGCCGATGGCCGAGGCGGAATTCAGAGCCAAGTTCAGATTCTCCTGTTGGAGTTGAAGTTGGGTGACGGAGGGCCAAAACAGAGGTCAGATCCATGCAGCATAATGTACATTATGTATAACCAGGGATGCAGTTTTAGATATGAAAGCGGCACCGCTGTCAAACAGAAGAAAACCTAAAAAACATGTCTTTCAAGTATGTGTGTCTTCCAAAAGCCCCTCTTTATAACTGTAACTTAATTTGATGTGTTTATTTGAATGATTTATGCGTTGAAGTTAAATCACTAAACAAAACATATACAGCTGATTAACTAGTTCCGACACGAGCTAACTAACCTGTGTGGTGAAAGGTGTGAGTTTCTTTTTATTGATGGTTCTCTCATCAATGGTGTCAGCGACGGAGAGGTTGATGAGTTTACTGCATGCGAGAAGAAAACAAAAACACATTAGCACACTGAACTGAAACAAGGCCTCTAGACAGTTAAAGGTTAACAGGTGAGGACCTGTGGAGGGTTGATGGTAACATGAAGGGTGCTGATGAAGGTCAAAATTAGAGTTACGGATAGATAAGTACAGATAATTCCAAAGTATGTTACCAAAGTATGATGCCATCTGCCACTGCTTTAAACAGAGCTTCAGTTTCGGGGTTGATGGGCAGGACGTGTTTACAGTCCGGATCCTTCTCCAGAGAAGAGTTGATGTAGTTGGCGAAGGCAAAGCGCTCCTGCTCTGAAATACAGTGGAGTCAAATATAATATAAGTCTTGGCTTGATGACATTTGGGCCCTTACGTATCATTCTATAGGTAATAGTGTTACTAACCAGAGATGGAATGCTGAGTGCCTTCACTAGAGATCATGCTGGTTCCCCCGATGGCTAAGATTCCTTCTTTCTTGTTCAGAGCTTTCCTGAAACTCTGGGACATGCGGTCGTCCTTCATTTCCTGAAAAATCTGAATGTGCACACAAAAAATCAAAAAAAGCAATCAAGTTTATTTGAAGTATGTGTGTGGGCCATGTGTGTGGGCCGAACCACCTGGGCCCAAAAGTGCGGAGCCCACAAGCAACCCGGCATTTCAGGACGGTAGCTGGGCCCACAGTGGGCTGCCCATACGGGGCCCAATTGTCTTCCCACTGTGGCCCCACATGGACCCTATCGAAGGGCATGTCTGCTGTGTTGTGGCTTTATTTGTTAAGATACTGGCGGATATACGTAGTTAGTCAGTCACTCATCTCGTCAGCTGAATATCAAGTCAGTCATTGCGTTGGGACTTTTATTTCATCAACATTTTGTCGATAGTTAGTTGGTTAACTGTTAGTAATGGTTGTGAATGGGTTTAGTTAGTGCAGTTAGTGTTACCTACAGCCGTGAACTCTTCAAGGTTGATGCGGCTGTCGTTGTCTCGGTCCAGCTTCTGGAGGAGTTCTCTGACCTGGTACCCGGGCATGGAACAGCCCACCTTGTTGAAGAGGTCACCGAGTTCCGAGGCACAGATGTACCCATTACCATCCACATCTAGGGAAGAGGGGCGGAGGGGGGGAAAATAGCAAGCAATATTTTAGTTGGAGCCCGTGCTGCTAAATCTCTCAAGATCGATGTGACAATATCAGGACTGTGCAATAGAGGAATAACTATTCTCAATTAAAATCACTGCGTCACTACACAGATTTTACACACAAACGTCAGGCAGTTCATAAAGGAGTGCTCCTCAACATGTGAAGAAAACACTGTATAGCGTCCCCTGTGGCTCTGGAGGAGCTTTGTCGAGTCTGAAGAAATAACACGTGTTGTCGTCAGGATTATCTCAGTTTGGGCGTGGAGACTTCGATGTTCGCATGGAGTTTGAGTTTGACCCAGGGACGAAAGGTCAAGAAATCTCTACCACTGCTGTCTTCAATTTGACTGTTTTTGTTTACTCTGTCTCAAGTTCCCGGACTTTACATCTAAGTGCAATGCTAAAATGCTGCAGTATCCCTTTAGTGACGCATTGATTCAAATGAAGCTCTGCAGCAGCATCAAGGAAGTCTGACAATAAAGGAAGTCTGACAATAGTAGTGCATTTAGAGGAGAACAACAGTATCTTGACTTACAGCATGTTGTGTACAGAAGGAAGCTCTTTTGTATATAGATAGAAAAGAGTGATATACTATCCAGACAGATTTTGGGTGGCTTATTCGCTTTCTTACCGAGAATCAGACGAGAGGATTGATACCACTGTCAAGTGGCAAGAGGCATTAGAAAGTTAGCTTAGCTTAGCATAAAGACTGTAGCTAGGAGAAACAGCTGGACTGGCTCTGTCAAAGGAAACAAAATTAGCCGACTAGTACCTCTAAAACTTAAATATGGGTGCATCAAAGGTTTCATTTCCTTCCATTTATCCCAAGATAAACATCTGTCTGTCAGATGACGCACACACAGTGGACAAGGACATGCGTTTGTTCAGCTGCTTTACCCCACTTCAAACATGGCTGACTCATTCATCATTGTCTGATGGGTTACTGCAATAGCTGCACACACACACACACACACACACGTCGTTACTCACCCACTTGTTGGAAGCCCTCCCTGATCTCCTCCATCTCCTCAGTGCTGACACTTGCTGACATGTTGACACCTATAAAATAACACAGAATTTAAGTGCTGTGATACAATTTGAACTCTTTCCACATTATACACATAATGATAACAACGCGTAACGATCACGTGCTAAAGTTATAGTGTGTGTTTCTCAAAGAAATGAGTCGGCATTCCTCATCTTTCAACGGCTTTCTCTTAAGCTGGATCAGGATGAGATGGTTTGATGTTAAGAGCTCCTGTGTATTGATGATTGATTATGATTGGAATGTGGGTGTTTGGTTGACTACGTTTGTGCTTTTCATATTCATATAATATTGTTGCGGAGGAGCATTTCCCTAAATATCTCCATGCCTTAAAGTTCCCATGTTGTAAAAAGTGAGATTTTCATGTCTTTTATATATAGGGCAGGTCTAAATAAAGAAAAATAAAAAAAATTTTGAACATTAAAGCATGTAAACATGTTCTAGTAGGACTATGAAGTAGAAATATGAACCATCGAAAATGACCATAAAAAGTCCCCTTTAAAGTGACCCTATGTAACTTATGCTGAGCAGCAGCCACTGTGGCCACAAGAGACAAGTGTGGGATTACTAGAAATAATAAAACTAAAGAAGAAAAAAAAAAATAAAGGAAGGAGTCATGAAGTCAGCGAATGTTTGTTGAATTTGCTAACATTAGCCACCGTACGCTACTGGTCATACCAGACCGAGGGCGACTTCAACAACACCCCCCCCCCCCCAAGTCTGTTGAAGTGAGTGAAACAGTGTTTTACTGCTTATGAATTGGAGTTTTAATTTTGTACGAATCTTGAATCTTGAAGATTCAGCACGTAGCTAAACATAGTGAAGCTCAGCATAATGACTGATTTATTTAAAGGACAACAGACAGGTTTGTTAGATGAGGCTCTATTAGCTTCATTTGCTGTTACATGCTTGGGTCAGACTGGAGCCATACAGCTCTGTTAACTCCCCCAGTAGCATGATCAGTTATACAAAGTGCCATTTAGCATTACAGCTACATCAAACCCTTATGACTCTAACAGATTCATGTAGATTGCCTTAGGTGTAATGTGATTCTGTAATGGAGGGTATAGTTTTTATTATAGCTTCTATATTACAGCAGAGAGTAGGCCAGCACATTTACACTGTCTGAGAGGTTAATGGAGTAGTTCACCCAAATCTTTACTGAACCTGAGCCACCCACCACCACAGTCCTCACTGTGAACAGATTTTGCCAAAACATAATATATCTCTGTCCATACTTCGGTTCACCTCATCTGTAGTGGGGTTATTTGCGGTGTGATGTATGAGAAAATGATTTTGTAATTTGGGGCGATATGACCCTTTAATACCACCAAACAGTCTAATGAATTGAGGTAGGTGACTATATCCGTTTTTTGGATCCGATCAGATCTTAGGCTAGGATGATGCTTTCAGTAGCAAGGCTCTGTTGGAGCAATGCAGCTTGATGTATCACACACTATATCAGATCATGATATAGAAAACATTGGCCTAGATGTAGAGTCTCAGTAATAAGGGATGATGAGATTAGACTGTACTGTACATGATTTAGTATGAGAGAGAGCTTTCTGCTGCAGAGAGCAGAGCCCGGCTAGCTGAGACGAGAAGATAAGGCAACTTGATGTATTGACAATCAATGCAAGCCTAGAAAGCCAAAGCAATCAGGACAAATTAAGCATTATTAGCCTGAGATATAAATGGCATCTAAGATCTGATTTGATGATCCGATTTAAAGAGATGAATGATGTGCTTCTCCCACTTCCACCGGTGACTTTGAAGAGATATTAGCCAGATGTTGGCTCGAAAAAGTTGTCTCAAATTGTTGCTTTTGAGCTTTTGTTTTAGTTCAAATCAAGTTCCGGTTGAATCCAGACTCCTCTTTGGATGCCTTGAAAAAAATCTCCACAATCTTGTTACAGCATTAGCAAATAAACAAATGGGCTACGCTTCAGCACGAACATGCAAAGATGGTGGTATCAATGCATGGACAGTCACGCACAGACACAGGCAGGCAATCACAGGGCCACTAATGTCTCCAAAGAGACGGTGGTCTGGTGACACATTGCTTTATGTCAGGTATCTATTGCCAAAGTTATTTGAATAATGAATGGAGATGCATTCTGTGTACACAATACAGACAGTATCCTCCTCACGGCAATAGACACTGAAGACCTTAAAACAATAGTTACTGATTTACAGTGTGGGGGCGTTTGAAAAGCTGATAGAGTGCATTTCCAGTGAATAGTAAATGCAATAAACAGACATGATTGCTTGGTGTGTTTTTTTCTGCAATATATCATCATCATCATAACTTTTCCAGAGTGAAATAACTCAAGCTCATGCAGAATTGTTGGATTACAGAAATAAAAAAGAAAAAACCTTCTTAATGCCACAAGATGTCACTGCTTCACAAGGAACCGACATTGCTTGTAAGGTTTGCCCTTGCTGTGTTTTCTGGGTAGCTTCATTAAAGTAGAGGTAGATTAGAGAGGCATGTGTAGGGCGATATTAATCAGAACATCCTGTTATTAAATAAAAATGATGTGATCATACATAGCATGGTTTTGGGGGGGCTATCGATCAAATATCTGTGTCTACCAGGTGTGGAAAATGCCCAGCTAATAAAGTTAATAAAAACAATGAAGTCTTAAACACATTTACAGCACCATATTGTACTCATACAAAATAAATAAAATAAAAAAACATCATCGACCACTCCTGTAGCTAAAAACCAATCAATGCTGGGGGCTCTACAATGAGCCCATGGCACTGGATGCTCTGGATGATATTTCGATGCCTGCAGGAATCCTCACACACACACACACACACAGACACACACAGACACACACACACACACACGTCTGTGTATACAGCATTGACTGTATATAAGAAGAGTGACGGTGCAGTTCAAATCACCATCATCCTCCTGCTGCCACTCACACTCCAGTATTATTCACTAAGAATATTCTATTATATTATAGAAAACTGCAGGAAAAGCGTTGCCTTTATACAATTCAATTTTATTTTGAAATCCGTTTGCTGGCTAACGTGCTCTAAATAAATCGGCTATAGCATACTATTTACTATATATAATATGTATAAAATATTTATATATATTCATAAAATTGTACTAAAGAATAAATAAAGCATGCATTTGCACACGTGACTAAATTACATTCACTTCAATTGTTTCCTGTGCTGAGAAAATGATCTTTCCAGTGTCTAACCCAGTTTTTGTCATCTGCTATGACTCACAAATACATTCTTATCATGTTTTTTTTAAAATTCACATCTCATCCCATATCCTCAGGTACACTGTGTAAATGCATGTAATCTGCTGTGCCGCAGTGAGTTATAAATCCACTTCACTGCTCCACAGTAAACCTAACGCCAGACTTCCCCCTCCTGAGCGTGAGAAAACGCCCTAAACAGCTCCTTCCTCTTACCTGAAGTCCGCTCGTGCAATCCAGTACAATCACCCGTGGTAAATGAATCCCTGCGTCGGCCTCTCACCGCTCCTCTGTCCCGTTTCCTCCCACTGACACCGCCCGGTGAGGGAGGAGAACCGCTCCGCCCCTGCCGCGTCACCCCTCCCCTACCCGAGCCCTCCTCCACCTTCCTGGCATCAGCAGTCATGTCCAACCGCTTAGCAGTCTAGTGGAGAACAACAGCTTGTATTAATGTAACCGTACTTTACCGAAAACATTAATACTAATAAAATGGAAAAAATATATAAAAACAGTTTTCTAAAATTGCTCACTTTATAGCCGACTGTTAATGCTAACCTATTTTAATGCAGAAACACTCATGCGCTATATAGCTTAATTAGCCAAATGGCTACATGTAGGATAATGTGATAATAATAGGTTAGAAATGTGGACACATGGTTTCTTTACAGGTAAAAGTTACATATATTCACATACTGTATTATAAGTAAAAGAGTATGACATTGTTTAACCAACAAATGTGTTTCCACTTCTATTAATGACAACATTGTGTACTGATATGAATAAGCCTCCCGCTTGCAAGCAGGAATATTTGTCTTCTTTAGCTACTCACAGTGTTTAGGAAAAAATAAGTTTTTGATTATGTGTGTTAATACATTTCGAGGGAAAGAAACACTAAAGCATAAACCCCCAAAAACATCTGAATTTTGTATTTTTGTTTATTTGTGTATTTTTTGTTGGTTTGTCTACGTTTTCCCACAAAAAAAAAAAAGAGCTTTAAGATAGTGGCACCGTAGCCAAGATGGCACCAAGCTAACGGCGCAGAAGACTCACGAGCAACAACAACAAAACAGCCGAGCGTGGCCAGCTACACTGTCGGCAAGCACTCTGATATAATATGACGTTAAATAGCACTGGCAACTGGCTAATCACAATTTCCTTTTTTTTGAATGGAATGGAACAGGATGAAAGATATCCACACAAAATGATTAGTTGACGCTTCATTGCATCATTTGAGCGCTAAACAAAGACCAGAGCTGCGTTCCAAATCGCTTACTTTTTCTTTTCACTTTCCATACGTACTGCAGCTGTCCTGACAAAGTACATACTGTTGCATGCAGTATGTACTCAATTGGGACTTACTGATCATCATAACATGCCACCTTGAACTTTGACCCTCTTGCTCAAGTATCTGCTGTGCAAAGGATTGTGGGCCAGAAAAGCATGCTGGCTTGCATACTGCAAAATGCGACCGGATGCAGAATGACATCGTGGTATATTTTTGTCATACTATGTATTGGGACATACTAAATCTTTTTCTGGAAAATTGAATAGTATGATAGTATGGCTGTTGGAATGCAAAGAAGGTCTACTTTGATTTGTAGCGCATCCCGCCTGTCATGCAGCGACACGTGTCGGACGTCAGTTTGTAGCTTAATTTTCCGTTGAAAATAGGCTCCTCCCAGATGAACCAGGCCTGCGCAGAATCGATCATCGGTGTACGATGCTTGTTGGCTATTAGTCTCATGCTGTACAAAGACATATCTTGTGTGCTTGATAATAATAAAGGTAAAAAGTACTTTACAAGGCAGAAGAATAAAGGATAGACTACAATACAGATACATTTCCACATATATATAATTACAAACTATCCAAACGAGGTCTGCAAACTACAAGTAGACTACAAATGTATGTTTGTTACACATGTAACAGGATGTGACAATTTCTATATATTCTTTGAAGGCTGCTGGACTGACTTGACCACAGCATTTTGGCCCCGCCCCCTGCTGCTGCCCCAAGATCTTGTCCTCTTTCCAGGCGAGAAGCAGTTCAACTCCAACGAGCCTATGGAGCTGTAGACCGTCGCTCATAGTACGAACACAGCATTACAGAAACACTGGGTACAGTCCACCTTCCCCATCTCTATCACTCTCTTTGTCTCAGTCAGCCCATAAGTCACATTGTATTAGATAAGATTAGATAAGATAAGATGTAAATGTGCTTTTAATGTCCAGGTAGGGAAATTTGTTCTGGACTCCATCAATAAAAACCTACAACAACACATAGTTTCCATATAACAGTTTTCACCTGAAGTGTGTTGAAAAGAAGATAGATTCTATTGAAATATTCTTCTTCAATCATCTTCATATTTGTTGGCGTTTAGCCTCCAAACAAAATAGCCTCCACCTCTGTTGCTGCTTTAGGGTACACTAAAACGGTTAGCGTTTTAGTAAGATGCATTCCAACTATGTAACATATTACCCGCCACCATTTTTAGACAACAGAGTAGTTATTTGATCCATTGTGAATGTAAAAATATTCATTATTTTAACTTTAATGATCCTCCCTATTTCACAAATCACCAGTAAAGCAATATGTGCATGAACATGATTCGTTTAATGAATGTGTAAGATGTCTAATCACTTGCATGAATAAGATGAACCTGTCACAGCTGTCAGGGTTTCCCCCCTGCTCCCTGTCTGTGGCTGTACCTGTGATTACAAGCTCATCACTCTGCGGTATATGAACCCCGGTTCTTGGCTCACTCCTCTCTAGATCGTTGCTGCAGCTGTAACGGTAGTTTGGTGTGCTTGGCCTTTATTTCTCTGTGCTATTTGTGCTTCCCCTGTTTCCTTGTGTCTCCAGGATCACTACCGTCTGACTCCCCAGCCTGCCTGCAATAAACTATTTCATTGTGTGTGTGTGTGTGTGTGTGTGTGTACACATAGTCAATAACAGTCATATTTCCGCCTCCAGTCGGACAGAGAGTGACGCATTATCCTAGAAATGGTATTTGTGTGTGTGTGTGTCTGCTATGTGTACTGTGTAAACTCTCTACATCCTGCTGCTGTGTGTGGGGATTTGTGGAAGTGAGAAGTAGACATGTGAAAGACACAGATTGTTTTTGTGTGTGTTAGTTTCATAAGAAAGTGTAACATGTGAGGTGGAGCAAAATTCAATGCATTTTAAGGGGTTAACAGTTAAACCTAGAGTTACTGCGTGATGGTTGTATGCCTCCGCCAAACAGACGAGCCGCAGTTTACATCTATGTCTGTCCACAATGTCATCAGCTCATCATATGATCCTATTTGTGTGACATAAGCATATGAAAATGAATGGCCAAAAGTCATAGTGACCTATGACCACCAAATTCTAATTAGTTCAACCTTAAATGACAAACGTTTGTGCCAAATTTGAGGAAATAGGGCGGCACAGGAATGACGTATTTTTGTAGACTAACAAGATAATCTTCACAAATAAACAACACTTTTATGATTTTTGAAGCGACTACTAAACGTCATCCGGCCGACTAGTATAGTTAGTTTTTAGCGTAACGTTATTTTTTTTACTTCTGCCGACTGCATTCACGCATAAAGAATCACAACAGTGGTGTTCATTTGGGAAGATTATCTGGTTTAACGAAACGTCAAAGTGTCATCAACGTGTGTTTGCCACAGAGCTTATTTTCTGCAATAATCCGATTGTGCCGAGGGAACCAGTGCGATGCCAACTTTCAGGTTGGCCGACAAAAACACATCATCCCTGCTGCACTCCATGCTACTACACGCTCTCACTCGTTCCCCTTTGAGCAACACATTTGCAGTATTCCATTGCAAGCTTGTTGCAGTAAACGGTTCCGGTTAGAACTGTTGCAATCTGCACTAGTTGATTCATTGTTATGGGGTGATTGTAGTTTGTCTCATGCTCATAGGTGCGGCCTGCTGTGTGCCTGCATACATGGTGAGTGATTGAGATCTGTGAGGATGACACAGACTACATGGTGAAATTCAAGCAGGCCTTTACAACATAAATGCAATTTAAAAACAAACATCACTTGGCTGAGGTTTAAAGACCTCAAGTTGGATAATTGCCTCTCTCAGGGGAGGACCTACTCTGAATCTACTCAACTTGGATACTATTTGGAAACATCTGACAGGAAAAATGTCTTTTGCAACCTCATATAAAGAAAATGAAAAGAACGAGGAGTCAGCGCCTGCACCATTCCAGCTGCAAAAGCACAACGTACTCTGCAACAAGCCTGTACGATACTTTGTATTGGACTTAATTGGAGAAGGATGTTTTGGCAATGTAGTCGGGTGTGTCAATTTAAAAACATCCGAGACTACGGCCATCAAGATCCACAAAGATGTTAAACATCCCATCACAGAAGTGAAAATGCTGGAACAACTCAGGACCCTTGAGCCAGAGAAAAACCACTTGGTGAGATTCATCGACAGTTTTATAATCGAAAACACGTCTCGCCTCGCCTTCGAGATGCTGGACATTTGGGATTTGGTGGTGCAGAGACAGGCACCACTGAACCTTAATGGAATCCACCCCATAACACGTCAGCTACTTGTAGTATTTGAAGCCCTGAAGGGTATCAGCATCCTTCACACAGACCTGAAACCTGACAACGTCATGCTCGTCAACCACCAGGATGAGCCCTTCAGGGTGAAATGAATTAACTTTGGTTTGGCCATTCCAACCTCCAAAGTAAGAGAAAGAATGAGTGTGTAACCATGTGCATACAGAGCTCCAGAGGTGACCTTTGGCCTCCACATATCTGAAGCCATCGACATGTGGGGACTGGGATGTGTTGTGGCATTCCTGTTTTTTGGTCAGCCAGAAGACCACCTGCTGAATGCTGGAAAGTACACCAACCAGTATTTCAACAGGGAACACTGCTCTCCTGATTCAGGATGGAGACTTAAGACACCAAGAGAGTACAAAGAGGCAACCGGTATCCAGCCGCAAATCTCAAAGTGGAGTTTCGACGCTGTCGGAAATTTGGAGGAAGCAATAGACCTCCACTCAGAGGAAGATGACTACGTTATGTACAGAGACAGGATGACATTTGTTACACCTCTTAGAACGGTTGCTCAATCTGGATGCTGAAACAAGAATCACCCCCAGTCAAGCCCTAAACCATTGTTTTGTTACAATGGTTCACCTGGTAGAAGATCACAAGAAAGCAAAAGATTGTTTCCTCGTATTATTCATGTTTGGGTCGAATCGTCTTCCTGAGATGTAATCAAACGGCCCAGATCGAGCTGACAAAGATGAACTTGGCGAA